ATATTTCAGTTCACAAGGCTTTAGCTTAGCGAGTGCCAGTTCTCCCTAATAAATCACGCAAAATATGTCTTTACCACTGTATATAGAAAAACGGGAATAATTAAAATTGCAGGGCAGCAGATAATTTCAAAACGAAGTAGGCTTTGCCGAGTCTATTGTCGTGTGTGTAGTTATTGCGTACTGTTTGTCTTCAATGGATTTGCAGCACTTTGATAAATTAGAAAGCCTGAACATATGCTCTCTTTCTCTCTTCGTAATAATTATGTAAAATTCACTAGATTTGAGAAACTAAAGCGGGTCAAAGAAGAACTAGCATTGAGTGTCGCAACAATCTTTGCTTGGGCATTTACAATTCGTTCTTAATATATATATCTCAATTAAATAAACACTAAGCATATTTTCTTTCCGCTTTATTTTCTGGGTTGTCATTTATGTTGACGTTATTAGGGCTGTAATTTCGTACACACACACACAAAAAAAGTCACAGCTTTGCCGCAAAAGCGAAGCAATGAACGCGATAGCATGAAATTAAAAGGTCACGCGCAGAATGGAAAGCAGATCAAAACGCGCCCCGCGTTTCTCACGCACAAATGACTCACAAAAATTGGGGGACCCTTAAGCTTCGCCTTTAAGAGTAGAACGCGATAGCGAAATCCGGCTCCTAATGCACCCTTCAACCCCGCTAAGTGCATACTTAATTATATGTTTTGACACACACACACACACACACACACACACACACACACACACACACACACACACACACACACACAGACACACACACACAGACACACACACACAGACACACACACACACACACACACACACACACACACACACACACACACACACACACACACACACTCGCGCAAGCACGACGTATCTATAGTAATAGTACCTGTTTTCGGTCTATTTAACAGCACTTTTATAACAACTTCATGAAAATATTGTACATTGATATAGTCACATCTTCCTGCATTATGAACAACGCGTAATATTTTGATTATGTGAGGTTTAAAGTCCCAAAACCACCATATGATTATGAGCAACGCCGTAGTGGAGGGCTCCGGACATTTCGACCACCTGGGGTTCTTTAACGTGCACCCGAATCTGAGCACACGGTCCTGCTCCATCGGAAATACAGCCGCCGCAGCCGGGATTCCATCCCGCGACCTGCGGGTCAGCAGCTGAGTATCATAGCCTTTAGACCACCGTGGTGGGGAACTGCGCGTAGTAGTGGCACTTGTATTCGCAAATGGTCACACTCTGTCGTCCGTCTTGCGTTAGTAATATGACAATTGTTCGACTTGTTCTTCTGGAGACCTCTTCCGGCGAACCGCAACAAGCATCGTCTAATGGTCGGTGAAACGGCAACTGCAGTACTTCACTACTTTAATAGTGTCATGAGAATGAAAAGCTAAATCTATGCAAGAGTTGTGGTGCTGTCGTGCTATAGAACGCTGCTCTGATGTAGTCGAGACATGTTTTTCACAATGTCTCCCAGATGGCACTTAGGCACACACACACACGTGCGCGGGCACGAATGGTACATGCAGGCTTTTTTTCTAAAGCAAGAGTAGAGTCGCTTGGCCTCCAAGATACACGCCTCGCGCTCACCATCTCAGAGGCCATAAAAAAGTCTCACAATGCCTCACAGATGGCAGCACATTTTCTAGCGTTTGCTGCTTGCTTGATTAATAGTGATCACCGTTTTTTCTGCTTCGATTGTGGAGCCGGCCTGGATGGTTTCTGTCCACAATGTGCGTTCATATAGCCATCAACTGCCACAATAACATAATTCGTCCCGCCGGCGTGACTGGCGTCCACATACGCCGCTGGTTTGTTATCCAGTGCTTTTTTGAGTGATTGCTATTGGAACTACCATTGAGGGCACGAAATTTATTATATCTGATTCGATGTCGGCTATCAAGGCATATGCTGCAGAGTATACAAATAGAACGGCACTACAAAAATTAGCAAGACCTCAAGAAGAAATCAAGCTCCTTTGGGTTCCGGGCGATTCTGGGAACCCGGGAAATGAGGCCGCTCACCAGGCAGCCCGAGGGAACATAAACCGGGCAGTGGTGCGGTCCCAGGAACTAAATCTGAATCAGCTGGCGCTCAGCTATGGAGAGCGGCTCAGCTGGCACCGAGAACAAAGAAGGCTTTATCCACCTCCAGATGAAGCGTTAACCCGGGCCCAAGCGACTAAACTGCGAAGGGCTCAGACTCATTGTATACTCAGCCCGAGGATGCTGGCCGCAATAGTGAAAGATGAAAAGCTACAGAAGTGTATCAACTGTGACCTAGCACAGGCAGGACAAGACCACGTATTATGGGGTTGCCCCAACAACCCTCCACCCGAGGAGCTCCTGCAGCCATCTCTTTCACCGATGCATGGGAGAGGTCCTTAAGGAGCCTGAATTTCTATATATAGGCCAAGCTGGCAGACTGGTCTGCTAGTGTTGTGGCCCCTTGGGCCTCAACGTAGCCCCCGTCACACTTGGTTTCTCCCATTTCTCCTCCGCTTTCTGAATAATAAAGTTAATTCCTTTTCCTCCTTGCTTCATCAACGCCTCTAGAAAGGCATGATATCTTTTCCGCTAGATGGACATGATTGTCCATTTTTAGAGCTGTTTCAAAGTTCCTGTGTGTTTTTAGTGGCGATAGCTGCACTATCCCAGCCTTTTTCGACGTAGTTTGATGGCCTCCCAAATGCGCCTGCAAATCGCCGAATGGGCTCGTTTTCGTCGTGACACCTGTCGAACAAGATTCGTTGAGGAGACTCCGTCAACCTCATGGCATTTATGTAGTGTTTTTTTCACCAAAACAGCTGCAAGTGACACCGTGGCTTTGTGGTAGGACACCTGCTTGCCACGCGAACAGCCGGGGCTCGATCCTCAATAGGACCGAAAATTTTATTCTTCATTTTATTTTCTGCTTTCTCAATTTTTCGCTCACAACCAATGGTACCAACGCCGACTTCAGAATTTCCGCGACACGAGTTTTTTAACGCTATCAAATTAAAACGTACACACAGGTACAGATGCACGCCAATAAGCAGCTCAGTTGTCACTTCGCTGTGTATGAAAAGTGCGCGCTTTTCGCTAACGGAGACTGCAATGATTGCAGTGACCATTGTGCACCCGGCAACTACAACAAAATTGTTCCAGGTAAAGCCCGAGGCCAGCTAAGACGTACGATCCTCCTCTGCTCCTCATCACCAGAGATAAGGACGTGCGAGGGAGCTCCTTTCCTCTTATAAGCGGGCAAAATACGCGTGGGAGATTAGAGCACACGCCGCCGCGCGATGTGGCGACGCGTGCTCATTCCGCCATCTTGCTTATAATGCTGAAAACACAATAATCCCCCCCCCCCCCGAGATGCCCAACAGTAGCGGTATGTGGTAGATATAAATAGCTTGCCGTTTCAATGGCGGAGGACGTGCTACGTGCTGGCTCAGTAGTTAACGCCTCGCACTCTCGTTTGAGTGTACCTGAAATCGATTCCGCGCGCCGGAGTCTTTTTTTCTGTGTTTTTTTCTTGCAGTTTTCTATATATAAATACGCCGACAACGGCGGCAAAATCCAGCCGAGGGTGTCTACATAATTAATATTGCAATAAAACACACGAAGTTATTGTCTATCAATACGATTCTTAATGTGCTGCGCAAAAACAACGAACGGAAACACGAAGTAGAGAAAAAGGAGACAAGCGCATACTATCAACTGAAGCTTTATTGCAAGACCAAGGCAATATATAAAGGAAAGGATAAAAGCAAGGGAGGGCAAAAGGGGAGGAAAAAAGGCACGAGGGGCCAAATCAACAATAGCTAGGCGACATCAAGAATAGCACACACTCACACAAAACTCAGAAAGCTCAACTCCTTATCGTGTATGGCCACAGAGGGAACACTGGCACACGACTCAGAGATCTTGTGAATATGCGCTGCTTTACCCTTTCCTTTATATATTACGTCGGTCTTTCAATAAAGCTTCAGTTGATAGACTGCGCCTGTCTGTCCATTTTCTCTGTTTCGTGTTTCCATTCGTTTTTTTGTGCAGTACATTATGAATCAGTAACTTGCCCAACTAGCCATTCTAGCAATACGACCTTCGCGCCAAAGAACGTGCAGCACATAAAGCCGTGGCTTCGGTTGCAGAACTCGTTCAGCGATTTGTACAAATTAACGACAAAAGCTACGGGGACAGCAGGGAGATGTCAATTCACAGTTCTTTTTTCTGTTTGGCACAAACCTACGACAGCAAAAAATAATGACCCCAAGGAGACAACACGGAAAGCTTTTGGAGTTTTAAAGGAGAATGTAACTTGCTCGCCATGAGGCGCACAGGTAGTCAGACCTGAATTCCTTCTTCACCGTTTCTGAAGTGAAGGATCCTTCGCCAACCCCTTCGCGTTTTAGTGATAACGGCAGCTGCTGCTTGTCTTGTTGAAGAGGTCGCACCATTGCCGGCATATAGTCTCTGCAATCAAGCTATGCCATAGGGGGGATCATATATATATATATATATATATATATATATATATATAGAGAGAGAGAGAGGTCTCCGAGACATGTATGATCAAAAATATGCATCAACCTCATGAATATTATACGCAGTTGGAGCAAGTGGATAGAAGACACACGGGAAAGCACGTCGCGTCTCGCAAACCTGAACATTATGTGTATAAGAATAAAATAATATATAATAAAAATAAATTAAATATATCAAGGCTTCCGCTGAGGCATATAGTCAAGGAGTAGCCGTACAAAATGTGACACTGCATTATACCCTCAGTACATAACATACCTACACTACAGCAGCACACAGCGTATCACATAATACAGTGAATCGTAGTACTAAAATGCAGCATTAGTAAAGAAAGCAACACTAGTACACATAATGCATATAATAAGGCATATTATACACAATGAAGCTTCACTGTATGTGTGTGCCAAATTTGTCACAATTCTTTCGCTCTTTTCCTTTCTTCTCAAGCTCGTCGTAGACTGCGGAAGCCTCCGCACTATGCCGAAGATTGCATTCATAATCGGAGGGAAGCGATACGTGCTGAGACCGAAAGATTACATTCTCCAGGTAATGAATGTCTGAACTTATCTTCGTTTTATTCGCTTTCAGCTTGAATTGCAAGAGAAGAAGCATGCTACACATGTTTGAAGAAAGGTCACTGACTTGAGTCACAACTCGTATATAGATTGCTTTGAACTGTTCTGTTTTTTTTCTTTGACAACTTAAAAAAGTAAAAATTTCTGAAGCTCACGCGGCTACTCGGTTTAAGCGTGTTTCAAGAAACGTGGGTTAATTTGAACTAACGATAAAATGAAAGACCAGAACTATTTCGAAGAACACCCGTCTTGATTTTTACTGGCTGCTGAGCACAGTGGGATAATAAGCGGAACGAAAATTTCAATATGATCTCGTAGTGCACCTTCACTAAAAGCGCGACAAGTGTTTGCATTGAGCAATTACGATCGTTACTGCAATTACGGCTGGACGCACGGATTTCACAATATCTAAAGCGGAAGCACAGTTACTACAACACCACTACAACAATAACAAAAAAAAGTTCTTTTTTTAGTTGGAAGATGTGTTCGCAAATAAAACGAGCATGTTTTGTTTGGAAAAAAAAACAAACATGAGGGATGGTCGACAATGCTGTTCCCCTTAACATCTCACCTATCGCGGTGATATAAACAGTGCGATTTTCTTCCCGGTACAGTGGGAGCTGAATGGCGAAAAGACCTGCCTGAGTGGATTCATGGGCCACGACACAAAGAATTCGCTCTGGATTCTGGGAGACGTGTTCCTCGGACGCTACTACACCGTGTTTGACCGCGGAAACGACCGTCTGGGATTCGCCGAGGCACGTTAGCCACCCCTTTTCGAGGTCCACTGTGGGGGACAGATATGAGGCACTGGTCTCCTTGATGCTGTTCCAGCCACTGCGAGTCAGTTCGTAATAAATACATGGTTGGCCTATGATTACTGCATGTCCGCCGAAGCTCACCTTCTTCTTCTGCCACTACAGGTAGGTAGTAAAACGTTACATTTGGAGCCGAAAGGGCACTTGAAAGATTACGGTTGTCTTCGTGTGATACGAGTGATAAGAAACTACTTTCGCATAGCGCAAAAAGGGGGCTCAGCTGAACACACCTAACGGCTTGTGCAGAAAAGAATGGATGTAATAGAATTGTGCCCGAGTCTTTGCAAGATGCATGCATGGTAATTTACTTACTTAAGAAATTAGGAATGATGCTTATGAAGCATTGATTGAAAGTATAGTATAGGGGCTGCAAATCGCTTTGCCAACGTTTTATATAACTTCAAACACCTTTTGCCAATTGCAAAAGTATAGCATAGGAGCAACACAGCTGTCATACAACTGTATAGCTTCCTTGCTTTGTGTCATGTGAACAGCTATGATGAGGCAGTGAAAGCCAATATTTAGCTTTAGTTGTCAAAGCCAAGATATAATTATGACACAAGACTGATAGATAGGTGGGACTTCAGATTAACTTTGATGACCTGAGGTTTGTTAACGTGACTAAAACCTGAGTACATGGGTGTACTTGCAGTTGACCTCTCTCAAGGTGCAACACTACGGCTAATCGAATGAGCCCGCACCATCGTGCTCAGCAGCGAGACAATATATCACCTAGGGAACGACCGTGGTTGGAAACCGAAATTAAGTATGTTATACAGCCACACCTTGCAGCCCGGCTCTCCGTGTTAAATGCGAGGACTGTTAGCAACACGATGTATCGAAGCCTCTTAGGCCATCCTCCCACAGGGCCGTATTCTGCCTCAGATTTTACACAAACCGTTGGCGTTCACGACAGTCGGGGAGAGAAGCGAAGGTGCACTGCTCCCGGCTGGGCCGACTTGGCTGACTAGGTGACGTGACGCCCATTTCAGTTACGCCATCCCCATCAAGTACAGCGTACCTGGCATAGTTATTGAACTTGTATGTGTAATACATACTAAGAAATAACTACCGCCCCGCCGCGGTGGTCTAGTGGCTAAGGTACTCGGCTGCTGACCCGCAGGTCGCGGGTTCGATTCCCGGCTGCGGCGGCTGCATTTCCGATGGAGGCGGAAATGTTGTAGGCCCGTGTGCTCAGATTTGGGCGCACGTTAAAGAACCCCAGGTGGTCGAAATTTCCGGAGCCCTCCACTACGGCGTCTCTCATAATCATATGGTGGTTTTGGGACGTTAAACCCCACAAATCAATCAATCAAATAACTACTACACATAAATACATACTGCTAGACATAATATTAAATCATATCCTCGACATATATGGGAGCAAGAATTAAAGACACTATTTTGTGTTATGCAGACGACCCCAAATTAGCAACAGAAAGCATAAAAGGCAAAAAAGTAACCTTAATTCTGATAGTAAAAGAAGAAAGCCTGAAGGCTCGTCATTAAAAAAATAACTACTAAATCAATGATAACAGATGAACAACAAGTCATTCAAATAGGAAATGGCGTTACAGTTAACGAGCATCTGTACATTTTTTTTTCCAGTTTCCAAAACAAAGGTTGCATCTCTGAGAAACATATGCAGTGAATATAGTACTTCGAAAATAGAGCAATATGCGTGGACTTTTAGAGATTATCAATGACAAATATGTCTGCAATAAAAGTAAGATTCGTCTGATTAACGGCCTAGCTTTTCCCATGCTGACGTGCTTGTGCGAGTAGGAGAAACGAGAGCTTGATTCTTTTGAGAAATGGTGCTGGCGAAGAGTTGTGAAAAGCGCCTGGTCAACCTAGCAAATAATTATCTCAATCATAAAAGAGATTGATCCTCAATGTTCTTTTTTTTTCAAAGTAACGGTCCTAAAATAAACTTTTCAGGTTTCAGTACTTTCAGGTGAGCTACCATCACAATGAATCAAAGATTTATAGCGACAAAAGATGAACGTAGTAGAAAACGACGCTGGCCGTGTGTCCATGCACAAGATGGTACTTAGAAAACTAAACAAGAATGAAAAAAGGTGAGCCTCGTATAAATAAATGAAAGAGGTCTCACTGGCGCCGTTTATACACTCAAGATGTCACCAGGAGTTGTCTGTGACACTACGTTACACAACAACAACAACAACAACAACAACAACAACAACAACAACAACAACAACAACAACAACAACAACAACAACAACAACAACAACAACAACAACAACAACAACAACAACAACAACAACAACAACGACGACGACGACGACGACGACGACGACTACATCAGCAACAACAACAAAAACAAGAACAACTAGAACGTACATGCCATCGCTGACCACAGCAACAACAAGAACAACAACAACGATGACGGCTACAACAGCAACAACAAGAACAAAAAAAGGAACAACTAGAACATGTCATCACAATGTGTTATTTGTGAGTCTGCTTACACGAGAGCAAACATCAGAAAAGCTTTAATTGTGAAAACACTCTAGGGCATCAAACGCCACATCTTTTATTGAAACCAGGAATGCCATACCTATAAAGACATCGCGCGCGGTGCATAATAAATATCTTTCATAATTTGTTTTGCGTGTCTGTGCTTTGCAACCCAAACATCACTGATAACCATAGTTTGTGGTCAGCCTGCAGAAGTGATAAAGTTTGGAGAATCAAATATTAGGACTCGAGAGGTTTTTGTCAACACATTTAGTGCGCCAAGTGAAAATTAAATGCGATACAAACCATGCATGCACCGTTCCGCTTCCGCCTTTAGAATCAAACAAACAACAACAAAAAAGTACCGGCTTGATCTCCGAACGCACCGGTGCACAAATTTACACTTGCCTGCACCAAAAACGTGGCTACGCTTGGGAAGCACGGCGCAAATTGCAACCACGTGCCTCACTCTCATCCTAGACCTCTGCACGGTAGACCTATCTTAAACGAGGTCAGCAAAGCCTGTGCACTGGGTAATTGCAGCCACTTTCACGGCGTTTGCGCATCACGATAAACGCGAGGAATTACTGTCCACAGAGGAGGTAGCTGAACATAACAGCTTGGTCCTGGTATCCGTTTTGTGAGCTTTTTAAACATTTATGAATCTGGCCATGCCTGCGGACCAACGTATAGGCCTTGCATACGCAAGAGCTTTTGCGCGGAGAAGAGGAAAACAGGGTAGTTTATTACGACGATGCCTTGGACGTAATACTCGCTCGACGAGTTCTGCAGATTGACCACCGAAGCCATAGCGACAGCATGCAGGAAGAGTTGGCTGAACAACACTATGCATTCGTTTTTGTTTTGCTGTGGGCTTACCCCGTTCTCTTTCTCCACACAAGCACGCCCGAGCTTACCTCTGGATAGTATTTCGCAACCAGGGGCACAAGATCAATTTCGATAGTGGGCATAGGCGAATATGGCCGATAAATGACTTATTATACGAAACAAAAGCTTGCAGAGTTAGGTGCGTTCTTTTGTTGCATCTTTCATTGCATAACGTTGATGAGGTCCGGTCGGAATGCTTGCATTAGAACACCTTCATTCTCGAGGCCACGCTAGCTGCAGGAACCTATACACCTATTTTATGTTTGTAAAAAAAAGTAGGCGCTATCGATATATGAAAGTTCTTGTAGCTACGTCACGGCGCGTAGGCTCCGCCCAGCTGACCAGCCAAAAGCACGCCACCACCCTCTATGATCACGTGACAACTGACGCAGCAGAGGCAAAAGCTGCCTCTGAGGACGGCGTGTAAGGACGCCTCCCACGTGCTTACAAGCGGCGGCCACAACAGAGGTAGTTGCAGTGGCTGCAGGAGGGGCTCTGAAGGTACCACATGAGCCTTGTTGATGAGTATCTGTAGCTTTAGAACCTCACTAAAACATGAGGTATTTTAAGGGTGGGAGTCTGGCTCATTTGCAATATGTAATCGCCATTGCGGCAGTGTACGTCGCACGTTCGCACGTATAGATTTTATTTGTTAACTAATGCAAGAAAACAGACCCAGTTCAGCAAGAAGCTCAAGGATACGGTATGTTAATGCACGGCGTAAAAATACATATCCAGAAATTGTTTCAGTAAATTCTCGCATATAACAAATGTGCCGAAGACGTTCATTCAAACGATCAGGGGTGATCTTGGTGACACTCATTCTCAATACGCTTGCGATAACACTTAAACTACGTGCTGGGGACCATGCAGTTACGAACCTTTCAGGTCAGCAGCTTAATTTTTACGCTTGCGTCAAGGTCGTGAAGTGCGTACTTACCGTTGACAGACTCGACAAGTTTCCCGATTACTGTTTTTCCGTGAATTCTCACAGGCGTGATAAGCTCGTGAAGCGCACCGCAGCCACAAGAGCCATGATGGATACACGGTGTGTCATCGCAGACGCATATAAGAAATATATAACTAACAATACTGCAGGCCAACATGGTCCGAGCAGAAGTGGAACTACAGCGCCATATGACACGACAGCCACACAGCACGACATTCCTGCGCTGTTCTCTTGCTTGAAGTTTCCTTTCATGTTTTCCATTCGTGTTTGAGAAATTATTCCATACTCGAAGGCCACATTTCTATTTCACTATTTCACAGAGTGTAACTACTGTAACGCCCTTGCTATTCATAAACCACTGTAGCATCGAGGAAAGTAAAGCAACTATAGGATATTCAGTCTACTAATGTACCGAAGATTTGATATTACGCGCAGCTGCTACATGGAAAAGTAACAGAGTGTGATCCTTAACTAAAAGTATCAAGCGCCGACAGTATTGGTTATGCGCACGAATACGTCTGAGCTGTAGACCAATGTCTAAGTGCTGTAGGTTCATTGAACTGAAGAAAGGCAAAACGGCGCACTCCTCCGGGCCGTCGTCAGTCAGCTGCACTTTTGTTCTGGATTCATTGATGTGCCCGGACCACACTTGTAAGCTTCGGCGAACTGAGGCACGTTGCGTAAGAGCGCGTTGACACGGTGGCGACTAGCGAAGCGCAGCTCTCCGCACGCGTTGACAGCGTA